AACCACACATTTACAAAAGTGCTCACAAGTAGGTGTGAGTTTATTTCAAGCATTGCCATCTCCTTGAGACTAACAAAGGCTCTAGCCCATAAGAGAACCAGAACATGGAGGTCACATGGGCTGTACCTCAACGGTCTACTGCAGACATGCTGTTCCTAAAGACGAAGGAGTAGAGGTCTAAGGACATGAACAAGTGCAACTTCTTCAGGAAGTCCTTGTCAATGTTTATGCTCAGTTGAGCACTAGATGAGGAACAGTCTCAAAAGGAAAAGCAGAGGGTCTTAGCTGTGTCTTCTATTTATACCAAACTGTCATTTTTAAAGAATGTGTAGCTCGAATGTTAAAAGGTCTTATTAATAAAAAAAACAAAAAACCCATAGCCAGATATGGAGGTAATTGCTGAAAGATAAGAGAGACAAAGGAAGAAGCCACATTTTACCTCTAGGACTCCTCAGCCTGAAAAAGCCTCTAGTTCCTGTCTCCTCACGCCTTATAGACCTTCCTCCACCCAGCCATCACTTCCTGGGATTAAAGGCACCGTATGCATCTCCAGCAAAAGCATGAGATCTCAAATACTGGGATTAAAGGTGTGCACCACCACTCTATGGCTCTGTTTCTCTCCTAGAGTGAATCAATCTCATGTAGTACAGGGTGGCTTTGAACTCACAGAGATCCAGACAGATCTCTGCCTCATGAGTGCTGGATTAAAGGTGTGTGCCAGCACTGTCTGGCCTTTATGTTTAATCTAGTGGCTTGTTCTGTCCTCTGTTCTTCAGGCACATTTTATTGGGGTACACAATATGTCACCACAGAATGAATTAGAAGAAATTACAGAAATGGTCTTCTACCTCATCTCTGTTTCACTGTTCTTCATGGAAAGTAAGTCTAGAGTACAGACATAAATGAAGTGCCAGTGGATAAAAAGGTCTACCTAGATCTTCAGGTAAACACCTGCACTCATCCACTATGAAAGAAAAGAAACAACATTGAACAAGGGTTCAGTCTCTTCAGTCTCGTGGTCTTCGGGAAGGGTTCTGGGAGCTTTCCAAATTCACCCATTCAATTCTCACTTCACTCAATGCATGAACAGACACATTTCTCTAATCACAAGCCTGGAACAGGCAGGGTATGTTGTCTGAAACCACACGAAGAACATGATTGCATCAGTCTAGACTCCTCTGTTTAACAAGCTAGACCTTGGAGGAAGCCACAGCCTAAAAAGGGAAAGCATCAACAGCGGTATTGGCACATGATGAACTACTTCAAAACTGCACTTAAGTGTGCTGCACACAGGGGTAAGAGCAAGCCAAGCTTTAAGATTTTCTATGACAGTGAGAAGTCCTCAGGGGAGGCTTTGCCCTGGAGGAGGTGGGAATGGGGGGTGGGCTGGGGAGAAGGGGAGGGGGCAGGAGGGGGGAGAACAAGGAAATCCGTGGCTGATATGTGGAACTGAATGGTATTGTAAAATAAAATAAAAGGGAGAAAAAAGATTTTTCTATGGCAGTGAGAGAATAACAAAACATCAGGATAAACACTGTCCTCAAGCAATGAGCAAGAAGATGAAATGACTCCCAAACTCAATGAAACAGTAAAACCATCTCACAAAAATTAAAGGACTTCTCAGGATGGAAATTTAGAAGACCAACAGGGCCCTTATTAATACAAAATTAGCATACCATGACAGGAAGAAAAGAATATCGGTTAAGTGGGAAGAAACTTCGTGCCAGCATGTCATCTTTCTATAATGGCTCAAATTTTGAACCACAATTCATTACAACACACAAAATTATAAAGTTGCGGAAAGAGAGGTGTCAAAATTTCAGTGTTGGCCAAAATACCTTGTCTAAGGGGGGAAAAAGTCCAGAGTTACGCATAGCTGCAGCACACATTACATGTTACTTATCAATCTGAAGTCACTGTAATACATATATAAATTTCATTCATTGCTATCCTGTGACTCTGGATTAAAAATACGTGTCATTTAGTACCCTGGGGAAACAGCTGATGGTGTAACATCCCTGAAGTTAAAGTGAGAGGAGATCAAATATGGTTGTATAACCTTGGACACACCATGTCCTCAGTCGTGCTGAACTTCCTGGTTCTTTATCCACTGGATAAAGAAAATCCCCCTTGCTTCCTAAAGCCATGGTGAAGACAGATGAAATAGCAGACCACATAAAAGCATGTAGTACACCACTCCAGTTCGGTTTTCATTTTCCCTTCCTGTCCATAAAGTAATGAGACTTTCTCCCCATGGAACTGGACTTTATTGCTTTGTAATTATGATGTGCATGTAACAATGTCCAAGAAACTAGATGGTAAATAACACCGACATGCAAGCCTGAGTGCACACGCTGTCAGTTGGCTATCATCTAGATCCCAAAGGGCTCTTGCACACTATCTATTGCATCCCAGAAATATGACACATTTTCTTTTCCGAATACAGCCAGAATTATCCACCAGCTTTGAAATATCACCACCATGATGCTGCAAGGAGCAGCTGGTTGATTGAGAGTGACTCCCCCTCCCCCACTCTCCAGCTGTCACCAGGAAACCCCTCTCAATGTGTGAAAATGACAGTATTAGTACTACCACTACCAATAACAAGCTAACAAATGGTTAGATCTGAAATCATTTTTATGAGGAGCCATTATTAAGTAAAAATTCAGTAAAACAAAAACTTTACCATATGAATGAACATCAGACACTGGCATACAACAAAAACATTGTAGCTTGTATACACAAGTAACACTGTATACCTCTTTTGACTGGTTGTTTCCCATCCCCTGTCACTTATGATACAAAACAACAGTTAAAATACTAAGTAGCTTTGGATACTGATACAGCTGTCACAGTGTCAGAGGGATTTTTAAAAAACTGTGGGGTTTGTTGTTATTCGTTTTTCTGCACAGAATCCTATGTCTGTAAAATATGGGTCAGACTGAAGACTGTACTTGTTTGGGGTTGGTTTTTTTTTTTTTTTTTTTTTTTTTTAAATGATCACCCATGCCTCCGTATGAGAACCCAGACATACACGGAGACAAACCTAGCAATTCTGCAGGACACGTCTAAGGATTCCAAGCACTTGGGGTTCTTAGCATCATCATGGTTTCAGGTACAACTCCCCCTTGGAGCTATGCTGCTGACAGGGATTCATGCACAGTTCCCCAGAAACCCAGTTCTCTAGACACATTCTGGATCAGGAGCCTGCCTCCTCCAACCTCACAGATCTTACAGCCTTTCCACTCTTGAACTTTCTGTGTAAATTTCTCCTGAAGAGGCTCAAATTTAAACAAACAGAGAATCACGGCTTAGATGGAATAATGTCTCCATTAAAGGACATCTTTTAAAGAACAGCTTCAACGTTTTAATGGCTTTTTACAATAATTTTAATATATGTATACATATAAGTGTACAGATTATTTACTTTTATATTTAGTCCTTACCCTCATATAATACACTACAACATTAACAAAAGTATGGCCTACTATGAATGCCTCTAAGTCTATTCTATGTTCATACATTCATAGCTATGTAAAAACATGAAGAAAATACAAGGACTTCGTACTTTTAAAAAAAAGAACACACCAGTGTTCTAGGTAAAGCACCTATATTGAAAAAAATGTCAATTACTTCAGGCTAATAACATTTTTATGCATTTATTTGCAGAGATATCATCTTCTATAACATAAATAGCATTATATGACTCAAATGACGGAGCTATTTGTACCCAAAAAAGTCAGTGATAGGATAATCAAAGATATTTTGATGTTAATTATCTTTAATCTTCTGGAAATTATGAAAACAATGTCTAGACATCACTGATTATGAAATAACTAATGTTTTTCTACCAAGATGAGCTGTAACTTTCTCCAAGTGTTTGCTTTCTCTCACAATATTATGAAATCTTGACTCTCACTTCAGCATCGTTATCACTTAAAAAGAGCAGTGACCAGGTGATAAAATGACCTCATGTATAAAAGATGATTAGGAAATAAACCGGGCAGCCAGAATTAAACTGATAATCATTTCTTTCCCTCTCAACAAGAGACACTGCCTAACATATATGTCATAACAGATAATAGTCAACACACTATCTCCTTTAACTTAGTAGTATCAGATGCTGCTATGACTTCCACTTTACAGGGTGAAAAATTAAAATGGGAAAAGATGCTACTTTGTCTATAGGGCATAATCAATGTACAAAGGGAGGCAGAATTCAAGCAGGTTGGTCTGACCCAGAACCATAGCTACCCATCTTTCTCATACAGAATAAGAAAATATGTTGGAGCCTTTGAAAAACAATTGTTTCATGATGGGACATTATCACTTTGTTGGTAAGGTTAACTATTACTGATAGAAATTGATATCATAATGGGCATATTTACATGAAAATTCACTCCCCGTGGTAACCCAGAGTCTCAGCATGGCCATAGTACCAGTGTTCTCCAGTCAAAGCCATGTGTTATACAGGCCACAGTTAGTCACTGACCCTTTTTAATAATGTAACAAGCCTAGGCTCTAGGGCAGCAGCTTCAAATCCTGAATGATTGTTCCCCTAGGTGGATCCTTGGAGAAAGGAAGAGTTCTTAGAAAATGCTACACGTATGAAGAAAATCAGCAGGTTGGGACCATGTCTAACTTAACTGTGAGTCTTTAAATAAATGGATGTGAGGCCTGCTTTACTATGATGGAGCTGTATGACATCTGAGGACAAAAGATAAGGATAGAAACATCATCAGCTTTGGCTTTGTGGTGCTACCTCTATGCTTCTGTTCAACTCTGTTCTGGCCTTTACCAAATCCTGGGCCAACCTTTGGTATCACTAAGCTGAAGAAACAAGAAGGTCAAAGAACTTTTAACTACCTTATCACAATTACTATCATCCCATTTTCTAAAATGCTACAGTGTATATAATGAGTATCAGTACCTACTGCTGTAAACTTTCTGGGTTTGTCTTGCCTTACTGCATAGGGTCTCATTATGTATCCCAGGCTCACCTCCAACTTGTGATCTCTCCTGGCCTCAGCCTCCAGAGCACTGGAATTACAGGTGTGAGGCACCACATCCAGCTAAAAAGTTGTCCTATGTCTACATTTTCACTATTCAGAACGTGACTGGGATAAAAGAAGTCTCCTTTAGGCAGCAGTCACAATATCCGTGCACTCAAACTCCTATCTAACCCAACAATTTGTCCCTCCTCCACAATCTGCTTTCTGCAGGCAGGTCTGGTAACTTAGTAATGCCTGACTTTTGAGTAACATAACATTGATGCATTAGTGCTACCTCCTTGTTTTCACATGGAATGCTTAGCACTATGGAGTCACAGTAAAGTGATTTGCTCAAGGTTCCATACCCAGGAAATACCTCACCCTATTCAAACATCATCTGTGACTCCACAATGAGTACTTTTTATGGCTAAGTTATTCATGAAATTTAGCACCCAGAAGCACTGAAATGGACCGGAAGGCTTGCTCGAAGAGTTATGACACCAAAATCTGTATTGCCAACTATTTCCCAGAAGATGCTGATAATCGGACAACTCTGGGACCAAAGCTTGACTATTCTGAGGACCACCTGCTCTCCTGAAATGAGTCAGAACACTAGAAGAGTGGAAGCAGAATCAGCAACAGAAGCAGGAAGAAGGTAAAGGAGGCTAGAACATTGGAGTAAAAAGTAGAGGGATGATAACTAGACACCCCACACACACATCAAAAGAAAACAAAACAAAAATCTGGGTGCCTCGAACCCACTGAAAGGGACTTTAAAATAGCCTGACAACTGAATCTTAACTGCAATAATTCTACATTAACAGTTTAAACAAAATAATTAATGACTAGCTTGGAACAACAGAAAAGCATACGATACGAGCTTTTTGTGTGAGCAGAAAAGAGATGAGTCCCTCGGACAGATGTATTTCTGTCCCCTACAACATGGAACAGCCTTTCTTGGGTTAGCATGGGCCTGCGTACTGACACGGACCGGCGGTCCCCCCAAAACACCTGCCACTGCAAGCTCTGTGGCTGATGCAATTTCGCCTCAACCTTCCTGACAGCAGAGGAATCTATCAAAAGCCCATCAAGGAAGCCCGGACGTCCATGCGCCCGGGCAAGCGATCCCGGTGAGATTGGTCCGTGCCGCCTCCCCCGGGCCCCCAAGCCTGAGGGGCAAAGAAGACCCAGAGCAGACCTCGCCGGCTCCGACCTCCCACCGGGTCTCACAGCAGCGCTTCCGCCCGGCGGACCCTAGCCTCAAAGCAGAGCTTCCGCCCGGCCCGCGCCAGCCCGGATCTCAGCCCCGGCCCCTCCATCTGCGGTCCCGGAAAGCGGCGGCATACGCCGCACAAAAGCGACGCCACACACTTAGCCAAAGAGACGCGGAAACTCACTCTCTCTAAGACCCGCCTGCGTCCTCGCGTATTCCCGCGTTCGCGCGTCACCACGCCCGGACTCCGAATCCCGAGACTCCACTTCCCGCACGGACGCCAATTCCGGAGCTCCACTTCCGGAGGCCTGGGGAGGGGGGGGGGGGGAGACGAGCGGCCTGCTGCGCATGCTCAGTGCCGCTTACGGCCTTTCTCGTGTTCCCCTGGCGTTTCACGTAGGGCTCATGGCGCTCAAATCCCAGAAACGACGATCTCAGTGTCCTTTCACCGCCATAAATAACTAGTGACCACTTACCACGCGCAGAGCGCATTAGCCCCGCCTGTGGCCAGCTCCCTCAAGGTGGAGCCTGCGAAGTGGACGGGGGAGACAGACACTGCCTGCTCCACATGGGCCTCGAGAGAGCTGCTCAGATCGGAAAGTAGGCCAGCGAAACAAGGCCACCGTGCACATTTTCAGTCCCATAAGCGCAGATCCGAGGCTGCACAGCTTTGCCTGTTTACTGCTGTAAGGGCTCGAGGTAGAAGGTGTTTGTGTCTTAGGTCATGTGATGCAATTTTCCTTTCTGCTGCTAGAGCGGAACCAGTTTCAGCTAAAGGCATTGGCTGCATTAATTTCATACGAGTAAATGGTCTTTGGCATAATAAATTTTTCTACTAATTGGAGGAAAGTTCCAACACTTTCTCAGGGCATGAATCCGGTGCAGGTAGCCTTTTGTTGATTTACCAAAAGTGTTAGCAGCCGTGTTTAGTTAGTGTATTAGAACTTCCTGTGTTACAAAAGCTTGTCTTCTATTATTGTGTAATAGAAGAACTCTTCCTGGAAATGTTTATCTCAGAGTTGGAATTTAAGTGAAAATCTGGCTCATTTATAGGAGATATATTTGAGATTTTCAAATGACAGAATTATTAGCAAATTCGGGGATGAATTCTTGAATCTTATAATTTAACCCTTTTAAGGTAAAAGAGTGTGTTGGTCCAATACTGACAATGAGAAACTGCATCCCTGGAAACGGAAGCCCAAGTGAATGGGGGAAGTAGAAAAATAAGCTCTATTTCTCAAATGGAGGGGACTCCCTATTTTTCCTTCTGATCAATCATAATGCATCCATTCTATTACTATAGTCCTATCTTCTATCTTCTGCCACCCTCTACACCTTTCCATACTTTCATTGTTTTTGTCATTATCATACAGAGGTGACTTTAAAATAGTTGCAAATCAAGTTTCAAGTCAGTAATCTCAAAAATATAATACAATCATAGATAGGGCTTAGGAGTGTACTGACGGAGCAGGGTATTATGGTACACACCAATAACTCCAACAGTTTGAAGGTAGAGACGGGAATATTGAGAGGTTGAGGCCAGCCTCAGCTACTTAACTTCAAGACCAGCTTAGCTTATATGAGTCCCTGTCTCAAAAAAAAAAAAAAAGTAAATAAAAACATTTCTATCCTATTTTAAATATAAGTAAAATGTTTCATTGGCATTTAAGAGAGCAGAGAAATTTGTTTGTTTGTTTGTTTGTTTGTTTGTTTCTTGAAAAATGACTTTGCCAGGGCTGGTGGCAAGCACATGTAATCTCGGCGCTTGGAAAGTGGAGGCAAGGGTATCGGGAGTTCAGGACACCCCCATTGCATTGCAAGTTTGAGTCTACCCTGAGCCACATGAGACCCTGTCTCAAAACAAAGCTCTTTCACCCTGTGGGAAATGATTTTGTTGAACAGTCTAGACTTTAAAAGTTATAGGTAAGATGAGCCTATTATATCATGCCAGAGTCCCTTGTAACTTGACAGTAATAATTATCTAGCCTAAACTTTAATAGAGGGACAGTCAGTACAATTCTTACATGTAAACAAACTTAAAAATAGTATAAGATCAATGCCAGAATAAGTCCTCTAACATTAAAAAAAGCACACAATTGTTACATTACGTTGTAAAACAATGATTTTAAGAGCTCAAATGTATTTTAATTGTCAGACAAGATAACAATATGCACATTCCATTTAATATATGACATATATTTACAGTCTAAGATGTAGTTTGAATTGTATCTAAGCCTCAATGGACAAGCAACAATTCTTAGGATTAGCCATTAGCCTCAAACCAGTGTTCCTAAACTGTGGTGCTTACATTGAAATGGGAGCTTGGTTTACCTCCTGTGTCAATCACTTCACAGTCCGATGGGAACTAGCCGGAGGGCAGATAGACCATCTCCCACCTGTCAGAATCCAGCCTGAAGGGGAAAAGACGCCAGGCAACAGTACCGTACACCAAAAAACTGGATAATCTTGTAAAGGAGGAGTTTGTTTTTATTTCTTACTGCTTCTAATGAATCAAATATATTGCACCCAACACTTTTTCAAAAGATGAGTAAAGGTGATTAAGGAGTGTATATCATCCTTCTTATGGAACAGCTTGCAAGTGACATGATTCAACTATGAATTATGACAGGGCAAACTTGGATCATGTGTTATGATAAGACTCAATACTTAACAGCAGACTACACACACACACACACACACACACAGGGTAACCCTAAGCGACTTATAATGGCCATAGAAAATAAACTTTAGGAAAAGTAAAGCTTTGTAGTGTCAAAAAGATTTCACTGTGATAAGAGCCGACACATTAAGAAGATCCAAGAACTGTAAACGCCCATGTACCCAACAATATAATTAGTAGAACTGTGAATTTAGGGTGTAGCCCAATGTTAGAGTGCCTGGTCAGCACTGTCAAAAGGGGATGGGGAAGAATAGAATTAAGAGGCAGACAGCAAAAGTCTGATATTTCAATACTCTCACTGATGGGCAAGAAACTAGACCAAAAATCATTAAGTATATAGCGGCTGTAAAAAACACTCAACATAAATGGTAAGTGCAGACCACTCTACTTAATAACAGCAGAATTTATACTCATCTTCAAGAGTCTGTTCTAGATAGCTCCATATGGTGGGTCATAAAACAGGTGTGAATAAATTTAAAATGAATGGGATCATACAAGGTATCTGCTCTGGTAACAGTGAAATTAAATTAGGAATCGACAATAGAAATATATTGGGGAATTAAATTACTCAATGGCTAAAATGGTACAGAAAATTAGAAAGTAGTTTTAACTGTACAAAAAGAAAACATCGAAATTTCCCAGTTCCAACTAAGACAATGACCTGAAAGGCACTAACTGCCTTAAAGCACTGCCTTGGAAAAGGGTCTCAATAGTTTGGCTTTAAGACAAAAAAAGAGCATTATACACACAGAGACACACCAAGCATAAATGAGGAATTAATGCACAGAAAAATGGAGAAGAATCAATAAAAATCAAAAGCTAATTCTTTTTTTAAAAGACTATTTGATTTACAAAAAAAAAGATACAAATGCCCCAAATTAGGCATGAAAATGGGTATATTACATGACCTATTCTACAGAAATTTAGATTACAAGAAACTATGTATAAATTTATGTTAATAAGGTAGGTGTTGCAAAGACACTAGACAAGGTCTTAGATACAAACTGACAAAACTTGTTCAAGAACTAAACATCTAAAGAGACTTCATTATCTAGGATTGGTATTTAAAAGAAAGAAAGGAAGGAAGGAGAGGGGGAGGGAGGAGAGAAATAAAGAAAAATCCAGAAACTGGGTGACTTAAAACATCAGCTACTTATTTTCTCAGAGTTCTAGAGGCTGCAAGTCCAGTATTAAAGTATTGTCTGGACCATGCTCCCTCTGAAACTAGGAGGGAAAATCCTTTCCTTTTTCTAGCTTCTGGTATTTGCAGCAAACTTTAGTCTTCCTTGGTTTTCACAGCAACACTTGTGTGTCTACCTGTGTTAAGACATGATGCTCCCTCAGCTGCTCGTGTGCGTGTGTGTGTGTGTGTGTGTGTGTGTGTGTGTGTGTGTGTGTGTGTGACTATGCCAGTCACAAGGTTGAAAAAGCCAATTTATTTCAATGTGACCTCATCTAAACATTGTACTTGCCATGATCCTGATTTCAAATAAAACATCCTGAGTGTAAGGTCTCAGGTGTGTGGTTCAAGAGGAACATTAAGGCAAACTGTTCTTTTGGGTAAGAAATGTATTATAAGTATAGATGCCATGGGGAGACAACATGGTGGAGGATCTGGTTCAGGCCCATGAGGGAGAGTGGGGGTCCCTTACAGGTTTCAGAAGAATGAGGGAGTTCCATGTCATGTGGTTGATGAGTGATTCATAGTATGTGTTTGTAGTCAGGCTCTCCCTGGTTCCCACCTGGCAGAGGAAGGCGAGAGGGTCTTGTATTTTGAGGAAGGGATATATGACCTTGATGCTGAGGAAGGAAGACCCATTGAGTTAAACATGAATCCATCCTATGGAGTAGCCACCGATAGCTTGGAGTCTGATAGCCTGGGGACTGTATCCCAGGTAGGAGGGTGGAAAGAGACAGGGGTGCAGACAGGCTGAAAAGTGTCTGGTCTGTATTCTAACATCAAAGTAGGAACAGTAGGACCTCATCCTGTCTTTATAGACTTGTAACGAGTAAGAATTTGTATTATTTTAAAATCTACTCACAAAGAAAAGCCCACACTCAGATGGAGTAATGAATGAATCTGATCAAACGTTTAAGGAAAAAAATGATAAAAATCACTATGTAAATGTCCTGAAGATAGAAGATCAGTTATCATTCTGTGAGGCAATTACCCTGATACCAGGGTAAAGAATTTATATAAAAAGGAGCTACAGGTAATACCTTCATATACATATAAAAGCTCAAAGTAACATATTAACAAAACAAATCCAGCAATATACATGTGAAGATCAATATAGATACAAGTTTGATTTTACTTTTAAAAAATCAATATGAAATACTATTAATAGACTAAGAAGTTAAAAAAAAAGCTGAGAAAATGCAGACAATGGAAGCTAGGGCTTGTGAATTTTAGAGGAAAGTTCGAGAATATCCCCCAAAGACTCTATTAGAGCTGTGTGTGTGTGTGTGTGTGTGTGTGTGTGTGTGTGTGTGTGTGCGCATGTGTGTATGCATGTGTCTGTGATACTAGGATTAAGAACCTATGGAAGTAAAACCTTTATTTTACTGGGATAATGGATGCTTGTTTAGCTGGGGCTGAAAAATCAGCTGTGATTAATAAAAGTCTAGCATTATTGAGGTGAAATCTTGAGTTCCTTCCAGTCAGGAAATGGTGGCTGTCCCCACCCCAGGGGTGCATCATAGGTAGGCATGGCAGTTACCCCAAAATACCTCCTTTTAAACTACATGGAGTTGCCTTGATAAATCCCCACATTATTGGCCCAGGAGCGCCAAGGCTGTGTCTCAGGCTAGCAGTTGATCAGTAATGCAGAAGAGTCTCCTGCATACTGGTTTTATAAGCAAAGGAGGTCCCTGAGTTTGTCTGAGGCCTGACACCATATGGCAGGGTCAAGTTCCTGAAGAAAATCTAGGAGAGGCCATTGGTGAAGATACAGCTTCAGTTGCCATGGAGTTTCCAGAATACTGTAAATCCTAGGCCCATCAAGGACACTCCACAGTGAAGTGGAGCCAGCTTGAGTCTACTAGACAAACTGTGCATGCTGAGGATGGCAGACAGAGATTCAGAACTGCCCAAGCTTTTTCTGAGTCCCGAGATTCAGACACTGAGCGTCAAGATTTGGAGCTACACAGCTATGCTTCAGTTTTGCTTACATGTGACTGGTTTTATGCATTGGTTCT